ATTATAATAGACCCCTATTTTTTATAGATCTTTTTTTAATCCTAGTTCCAATACAGTTTCCATCCCGGGCACTTGACCTCGATTCCAAGGCAGGTTTCATTTCGAGTATCCGTCCTCGGTTCCAAGCAGGTTCCATTTTAGGGACCCGTTTCCAGTTTCCGATTTCAGTTCTAGTTCTTATACATGTAGGAATTGAAACTAGACAGCACAATGTCGGTTCCAAAAAATTATAACCGAATCCTACCCGCATAGTATGAGTTCCAGATAGGTTCCAGTTTCATTTATGGTTCTACCCACTATCCATGCTTACCTTTCTAAAATATGATTTTTAAAATTTTTATGTCTAGTTTTTATAAGTTTCATAACCTCTGTTTCTTGAATAACATAAATATAATTTAATTTAATCTCTTGAAAAATCTAGAAACTGCCCCGGTCCAAAGCGTTTAACTGGTTACTGTCACTGGCAGCTAGACTTGGCAAAACGGGTTGGGACCTGTGGGTCGACCCCATACCCGAGTAAATTATATAGGGTACGGGTCTGTATTATTAAACCTGTTTTTTTAAGACCCGTACCTGGCCCTACCTGTTTTGTAAACAGGTAGATCGGGTACACCCGCGGGTACCCGTTTTTAATTTAAAGAAAAAAACCCTGGCATTCTTTTGTCTTTCTCTTTCGTAGTGTGTGAGCAGACGCCTAAAAGCTAAAACACCTTTTGTTTGCCTTCTCTCTCTCTCTCCAAACTTAACTTCTCTTCTCTTTTTTATTTCGCAGTCTGCCTCTTTCCTATCAAAATCATTCACAATCTCCATTCATTCCCATTCCCTAACCCACTAATTTCTCTTCCCAAAGAGTTTTTCACACAACCCACTTTTCTTCTTTGCGACTAAGGGGCTACTGGTATAATAGATCCAATTGATGGCACAAAAAAAAATTGAATTAACCTAGCCTTCTCACTTCTGGTTCATCAAATAGGTTGTAGAGCACACATTTCCACTTCTTCGAATTGTTTTCTCTTCGTGTTTCTCAAGATTTCGGAGCTTTTAAGAATTTTTCTTTTTTGGGTTTGTTTTGTGTGCTTGAGTTGGGAAGAATGAAAAACATTGTGTATTTGGAAACAAGTTTTCTTTTCTTTTTTTGTTTTTTAAGGATTGAAGATTTTGAGGTTGTTCTTTTTTGGGTATTTGCTTTTGGGTTTGGGTTTGGTTTGAAGAATGGTGATAAAAATGTGTGGTGGCAGCCATGGCTGCCTCTTGTGAGTTGTGAGGAAGAAGTACGAGGTGAAATTGGTGGTACAAGGATGGAGGGGTGGGATCTGGCGCATGAGATTGCAAAGAAGAGGAAGAACAAAGAACAAAGATTAGCGGTTGAGATTCGTTGAAAGGGTCCTAAAGTCCCCTTGAGTACTTTGAGAAGAAGGGTCAAGAGGAACTTCACCAGATAAGCGGGCACCTGTGGGTCCACCCGTACCCGTATAGGTAGGGGTGTACACGGTCTAACAGTTCGCAAACTGCTCGAGATTGGCTCACAGATGCTCGAGTTCGTAGCACTGTCTGACGAGCTGAGCACAGTCTCGAACTACTCGGTTCTTATACAATTGAGTACCAAATATGGTGGTACTTGGCTCGGAGGCTCGTCGATCTCTGTCCAGCTCACCGGTGAACAAGCTGTCGAGCTCGAACCTGATCGCCATCTCGCACTCGCGTCTTTGAGTTTGACTAAATGGCACTCTCCCGCCTCTCCAGAGACCCAGTGTTAGACCGATCGTCACGGTCTAAAAATTAAACCTAATTACCGTAGTAGCGGTAACAGGATCGAATCCACAGGGAGCAAGACTAACAACCTAATGTATTTTAAGTAGCGGAAATGAAATTGGCATGGATTATTAATCTAAATAGATAAATGCAAATAATGAAATAGTGAAATTAAACAATAAAGACTTATAAAAAAATGTTGCCGTTACGATTTGGTTCGACACGAGACCGACTCACACAATTCTCCTCCACCCTCTACGATCCCCTAAACCTACAAGGCAAGGTAAATCAATGAAATGGTTTCCCGACACTCTAGGTATAAACTATCCTGTCTCACCCGATCACTCAAGTTCGATTGGTTAAAGACTATCATTGAACGTCGATAAACGCTACAAGGCAATACCACTAGTTGGTACGCGATTAACAAATACAATTTGTCAACACGTAATATCCAATCAACCAACTTCACAATAAACGCAACAATAGTAGAAATTAAATTAAATCAACACAACTCAATTACAACCATGCGAAGTAATGAAAAGCAATATTCGTATTTAATTACCAAACCAACGTTCATTCAGCAAGTCTATGAAAACATTAAATCATAATGGACAACAATATTCATCACAAGTTATGCTCAAATCATATTAAAGTATCGAAATCAATCATGAAACGAAAACAATATAATCCGAAGCACAATACTACCAAATTTCCTATAATCGGGCTCATCCAACTAGTCGAGAGCTGATGAGGAGAGTCATGGAGTCAATCCCGATCTCGCCTATGCCGTAACAGACAACCGGGAGCTTAGCCGCTCATGGTGGGTGATGACGGAGGCCGAAACAGTGGAAACAGAGCTGACCATGGCGGAGAGGAGGTAACCGACAGTGATATGATGCGAAGAAGGGGCGAAAACGACCAACGGACAACCCGGAATACGAACAGCCGCACTTCGCTGGAAAACGTTATTTCTGGCGGGTCTTCGAAAAACGGTGGCGAAATGGGATCCGAAGGTACCGATGGAAGCTCTGGTGATGGGAGTTCAGATCAGGTCCTGGGGAGGTGAGAGGTCGCCGAAATGAGCAGGATCTGGCATGGAATGAAGGCGCGACGGCAAAATCGCGGATTTCAACGGTTTTCGCGGCGGCTGAAGCTAAGGAAGTGTAGATTCGCTGTGGGAAGGGAGATCGACCCTTGGGGAGCTGGAACGTCACCGAAAAACACCAAAACTGGCCGGGAAGACGAAACGACGCGGTGGAAGATGAAACGTCGAGTGGAACTTGGTTCACGGTGGTGATGAAGGGATGATGGTGATCGGAGCAGGGAGCCGATTCGTCACCGGAAAAGGAGATGAAGGGTCGTCGAGCTTGATCAGAGAAGGTGAAGGGTCGCCGAAAAATGATGATGAACAGCCCCCCTGTTCACGCGATCTGCACTTCTTTTATAGAACAATTTGTAAAATATCAGTTTAGTCCCTACACAATTGAAAAGTGACAAAATTAGCACCTTAAAACATGACATTTTACCCCTAAACAGCAAATGAGACAAAATCACCTTAATTCATAAACCACAACCTAATATCATTTCATATACTTCCAAATCATTCCAAACACGTTAAATTCATAAGAAAAATATTAGGAAGCGATTTTCGTGAATAAATTCTAAATTCTTTAATTATCTCAATATACTTCAATTTAATCACACACATGGGTATTTTTATCACCAAAATAAGTCCTTTCATGACTCTAACACCCAGACTCCTAGACTCCCACAGTCCACTTTATCTCCCTCCAAAAACAAACACAAATACCCAAATCCCTAAGATCTAAACACAACTCCGAGAAACTTTCCCTCCCAAGTCTGTATTCTGTAACCCTAACCCAAACTCGACAACCCAATCCCAGTCCCCAGAACCGTCGAAGGAGGGAAGACAGATTCCTCTCTCAAGCTTCAACCCTCACATCAAAATGATCAGTGATTTCCTACAAAGTAAGCCGAAAAATTGATTCAAAAGTTGTTTCTCTCTGTTTATTTATTGCTCATCCATTAATGGTCTTGATTAATTTTGTATGTGAATGATCTATTATCGTGATAATGGACTTCGGTTTTTTTTTTTTTTTTTCTGGGAATGATGAATGGTTAATGGTTTTGATTCTTTATTTTATCTGATTTGCATGTGACGGTTATCAAATCATCTCATGTGTTTGATGATGGTTTGTTTGCAAGTATCGTAGATATCTCGATTGATATAAGAGAATTAAAGAACGAACAATATGTAGTTATTGTACTTGTTTTATGTTTCATATCATGCTTCGTGTTGTAACCATGGCGTGTCCTTATCTTAGTCTCATATATTATATATTGGTTTGTCTTCATCTTCCAGAGAAATTCCAGAATTGAAGATTACTACTTTCACTAGTTCACCATGTAACTATATTGCTAGTTGTCAATCTTGTCTCCTCTCTTGAACAAGCTTCAATTTCCATTTTGTTGTCTTTGTTCAATCATATGATTAAACATATGATTTTGTCTTCCTCTCTTGAACAAGCTTCAACATGTAACTATATGGATGGTACTAATCTTGTGTTTTCCTTATTTGCGAATAGATATGGCATCGACTGATTCGACTCCATTGAGTTCCACTCACAAGGGTCACGGCCCGCAATTGACAGTAACGCAGCAACTGCAGCTGCTATTAATGAAGAAGATATAGAAGCAACTGATGTTTACCCTTTTGCAAGGAAAAAGAGGGCGAAGACATCTGTATGTGGGGGATTTTACAGAAATTAATGTTTCTAGTGACGAAGGCTGAATGCATCCATTGTAAAATGAGGCTTGCCATAACGAGCACCAGGAGCACTACTCACCTCTCAAGGCACTTAAGACTTATGTACAGCGAAGCTTTCTTTGAAAAGCAACAACAAAGGTTTTTTGAAGCAACAAATCCAGCTGATGCAAGTAATGTTATCCTTGTTCTTACCGGAGGTAAATTTGACATGGAAAAAATGCAGGAATTAGTGGCCACTTGGGTGCTGATGCATGAGCATCCTTTTACTGTTGTGGAGGAAGAAGGATTTAATCACATGCAGAGGTATGCGATCCCTGAGTAGGAAAAGATTAGTCGTAAAAATGATGTTGTTACTTTGTTTGAAAGGGAAAAGATAAAGTTGAAGAATTTGTTGAAGTATGTTGATAGAATAAGCTTAACGACCGATTTATGGAAGTCAAGTAATTAGAGGATTGAGTACATGGTATTGATAGGGCATTTCGTAGATGGTAATTGGAGGTTGCAGAAACGAATTCTAAACTTCTTGTACATAGCTCCTCCACGCACTGGTTCCCAAATTGCAGATTTAATATATAAGTGTCTGAAGGAATGGGGTATAGAGAACAAGGTGTACACGATATCAATGGATAATGCATCAAGTAATGACACAGCAATCCGGATTTTAAAGGAGAATTTGGCAATTGACAATAGGCTGCTTTGTGGAGGGAGATTATTCCACGTTAGGTGTTGCGCATACATCTTGAACCTTATTGTTCAAGATGGGCTGTCCCAAATAAGGTCCATTATTGATGATGTTCGTGATAGTGTGGCCTATGTGAAACAAACAGAGAGCAGGCTTATTGTTTTTTCAGAGATAGTGCAAATGTTGCGTTTGCCCAACCGGAAGTTGATCCTAGACTGCAAGACAAGGTGGAATTCCACTTTTGAGATGTTGTCAATTGCAGTGAAGTTTAAAAATGTCTTTGAAAGGTATAAAGAGAAAGATCCACATTATAATTGTTGTCTCAGTGTAGAGGAATTGGTAAAGGTGGAGCAAGTTTGTGAAGTGTTGGGTGTGTTTAGTACCATTACTAATGTAATTTCTAGGAATGAATACCCGACTGCAAATATATATCTCAGTGAGATTTTTCGGGTTAAGGTTATGCTAGATCAGAAGTCAGTGGATGAAAATGATTTTATTCGACATATGGTTACGAAAATGAAACAGAAATTTGACAAGTATTGGGGAGAATGCAACTTGTTGATGTGTGTAGTGGTTGTCCTAGATCCTAGGTGTAAAATGGCAGTGTTGGACTATTGTTTACCTAAAATGTATGGTGAGATTGATGCCCAAGTACATAAGAGCAAAGTTAAAGATGTGTATCAAATTTACCAAGAGTATGTTGATTATTATTAATCTCAATCCTCAAACATTGAACAACCAACTGCAATGGTTCCTCGGGGCAAGGAACAAACAGAACCTAATGTGTCTGGATTTGCAATGTTTGCAGAACATATGAAAACGGTTCAAAGTATTCCACTAGAGAAATCAGAGTTAGATACTTATCTGGGAGAGGGTTGTTTCATGTTTGGGGAGGGGAATTGTATGAAATTTGAAGCATTGGAGTGGTGGAAGGTTAATACAATGAAGTATCGAATCTTGAGTAGGATGGCTCGTGATATCCTAGCAATCCTTATAACCACAGTGGCTTCGGAGGCCTCGTTTAGTGCTGGCAGCAGAGTAATAGAAACGTATCGAGCCTCATTGTCTCCCAAAACAGTACAAGTGCTCCTTTGTGGAGGTGATTGATGTCGTCATCTCAATGGAGTTCATAAAAAGAACAAAGTAAGTGTAAATTGTAATAGGTGATTAGTATTTATGCATTTTCACTTACTAGTTAGTAGTTACTTTCATTTTTGTAACTAAAACTAATATTTTCCCTTGATGTAATTTAGAAGTAGCAAAAACAAGTGGAGATTCAGCTTCCAATCGAGTGAAGCTTACAAAGCTTGAATGCATTTTTTGGCCAGAATCCTCAAGTATCCATCAACTCTTAAATCACTTATGTAGTTATGTTTCATAATAAAACAATTTTTATTCTTTTGCATATAAAGGTTGGTTTTTGTAAGGATCTATTGGTTGTTTGAGAAGGTGGAGAAGAGATATGTTTCATAATGCAAAGGTTGGTTTTTTTAGTGTTGTTGTGAACCTAAGTTGTGATGATGTTATTGTGGTTCTTGTGAAGTGTTTATTAATGTTATGTTATTGTTAAATGTTGAACTTGTGATGTTGTTTGAGAGGATGGACTATGGAGAAAAGATGTGATTGTTGTGAAGTGTTTATTTATGTTATGCTATTGTTGAACTTGTGATGTGTTGTTTGAGAAGATGGACTATGGAGAAAATATGTGATTCGTGTGAAGTGTTTATTTATGTTATTGTTGAACTTGTGATGTTGTTTGAGAGGATGGACTATGGAGAAAAGATGTGATTCTTGTGAAGTGTTTATTTATGTGATGTTATTGTTCAACTTGTGACTCTTGTGCAGTGTTTATTTATGTGATGTTATTGTTGAAATTGTGATTCTTGTGAAGTTTTTATTTATATGATGTCCATTGAGTTTTAAACTGGAGATTTTGTTGATTTTACCTTACATGTTTGTCCTAAAATTTAGATATTCTATAATTCTAATTAGGGGTGTTTATTGTTGCTGCATGTTTTTTGAATTTGGAGTTCTAGACTTTGCTGGAAGGTCTTTTGCTCTTTGCTGGGCATAATATGTTTATCCTCATTCCTATCATTTTATAATTCTAATTAGGGTATTTATTGTTGCTGCAACCTGCAGGTTTTTTGAATCTGGAATTTTACACTTGCTGGAAGGTCTTTTGCTCTTTGCTGGGTAGAATATGTTGACCTGAAATTTTGATATTCTATAATTCTAACTAGGGGTATTTATTGCAGCTACAGGTATTTGAATTAGGGGTGTTTATGGTTGCTGCAGGTTTTTTGAATATGGAGTTCTAGACTTTGCCGTAAGGTCTTTTGCTCTTTGCTAGACAGAATATGTTGGCATGAAATTTAGATATTTTATAATTCTAATGATGTATATTTTGTTGCTGCAGGTTCAAAGGGTAAAAGTCTAGTAAAAGGTAAAATAAGTAGGTGACCCTCGACTTGGCTGCTCAACTGCTGTAAATTTGGTGTTTCTTTGCCAAATGCCAACAAGTTGTATCATGGGCATGGCTGGTGGTGGTGGTGGATATTTTGTTTTATGTTAGTTTGGACTTTGGAAGCAGTTGGCTTGGCCATTGTATTATGCATGTGAATGAGATAAATCCCAAGTCCCAACCTTTGAATGTAATTATGTATTATGTAAAAATGTATTAGCTCCTTATAATTATGTATTATGTAAATATGTACTGGCTCCTTAATCTTGAAAATATTAATCAAGAAGCTTCTCCTCTGGATTCTGTAATCATCATTCTCAAGTTGGATTCGGTTGAAAATGTAATTTGATTGCATGTGTGGTTTCAATTTCAGTTTGTTATATTGTAATAATTTAAAACTGTTATTTCAAGCTTTTAAATCGAGCTCGATTTCGAGCCTGGTAATGAGCAAATACTTGAGCTCCATTAACGAGCTTGGCTATAATCGAATTGAGTTCAACACATTCTTGAGCCAATCGAACTGTTCGCGAGCACGAACTAATTGACGATCTCGATCTCGATCTCAGATTTTCCCTACCCGTCGAGCTCGAGCTCGAACTCGAGCCCATTTCACAGATTGCGAGCCGATCACTGTTCGCCTTAGCTCGATTCGTGTACACCCCTAGTATAGGGTAGGGTATGGGCCTAAAGTATTAGACCCGTTTAAGACCCGTACCCATTTAGACCCAGACTGTACCCGGCCCACCCACCCGTTTTGCCAGGTCTACTGGCAGCCTCACATTCAACCACCACTTCATTCCAAACAAACGGACAAACCACCACAACCTCATAACAACGAGAAATGGCCCTAGTACCATCCCAGACTCCACTCTTCGCTGAGGTGGACATGGGTGCCGACTCTTCCGCACCCACCGTCCGCGCCACCGTCGTCCAGGCCTCCACCATCTTCTACGATACTCCCGCCACTCTTGATAAGGCCGAGAGATTGCTGGCTGAAGCCGCCGGCTATGGGGCTCAATTGGTGGTCTTCCCAGAAGCTTTCATTGGTGGGTATCCTCGTGGTTCCAATTTTGGTGTCACTATCGGTAATCGTACGGCTAAGGGTAAAGAAGAGTTTCGCAAGTATCATGCTTCAGCCATTGATGTTCCTGGTTCGTGCACCATCTCTGTCTATATGCTAATTAATTCTTATATGTAATTTTAGACTGTGCTTTTAACCTTATCTTCAAGGGCTTTACTGAATTAGACAAGATTAATTTTTGGGATAAAACCATTCCTTTGGATAAGAAATGTGATGTTAGCTGAGACTATCTCTATTTCACCCTTGTAGTTTGTGGAAGTTTGCATCATATTTAAAGATTTATGTTCTAATCTTCTGTTAATTTCAGGTCCTGAAGTGGAGAGATTGGCAGCAATGGCAGGGAAGTATAAGGTATATTTAGTAATGGGTGTGATAGAGAGAGATGGATATACACTGTATTGCACTGTTTTATTTTTTGATTGTCAAGGTCATTTCCTGGGTAAACACCGAAAAATTATGCCAACTGCATTAGAGCGGATTGTTTGGGGATTTGGAGATGGATCAACAATTTCAGTTTTTGATACTCCTATTGGAAAAATAGGTGCTGCCATTTGCTGGGAAAATAGAATGCCACTTCTTAGGACAGCAATGTATGCTAAAGGTTAGTCATTTAATTATGTTAACCATTGCAATTGGCCTTGTCTAGAACCACTTGCACCGTTTCACGGAAGGCTTGGTTTATGATCTTGATCCTTCCCATTCAGTTGGAACATATCTTCAGTTAATTTTCTTTGTCTTTCTCTTCTGTACTTTTTTTGGGCGGAAAGAAGGTACTGTAGACATTGTCATGTGAGAACTTCAGAATGGTGTTGACTGAAACTTAGGGGATGAATGTCTTCGGATATTATTTTCTTGTGTTTATTTTTTCCATCCGTTGATATACTAGCATTTTTGCTCTGTGGGGATCTCATTACTGCTTTCATTTGCTTTACCGTCTCTTATAAATAATAAATTAGCCACTGATACCTTACTTATCAAACTCACCGGTTTCAGGCATTGAAATATATTGTGCACCTACAGCAGATTCCAGGGATGTATGGCAAGCATCAATGACCCACGTCGCTCTTGAGGGTGGATGTTTTGTTTTGTCAGCTAACCAATTCTGTCGAAGGAAAGATTACCCTCCTCCTCCAGAATATGTATTTTCAGGCACAGAAGAGGAACTTACACCAGATTCTATTGTCTGTGCTGGAGGTAGTGTTATAATATCACCATCAGGAACTGTACTGGCAGGACCTAATTATGATGGAGAGGCACTCATCTCAGCAGATCTAGGTACATCATTCTCTTCTCCAGTTTCTCTCCTGGATCTATGCTGAATCTAAATAGTTTCTTTTTATGTTGTTCATAGAAGCAGGTTAAAGTAATTTATTTATGAGTATACCAGGAGATCTAGTACCAAATTAATTTCGAGGGACAATAATTAAACCATAAAGAATAGCTATATCCTTATCAAAAATGTAAGTTTGGTTGGAAAGAGACCCGAAGGATGTTTAGCATTATTTTGTTACTGCAGCTATAGTACATGTATCATCCGAAAATTCTTCATAAATCTTTCATGTCATATTCTATAGTGGCATAATACTGGCATGAGTTGCTTGACCAATTTTTGGTAGTCTTCCATCAAGTAAATGTTATATTGACTAAATTCTTCTGAGTATAATTTTAGAAACATTTGCAATTTTCAATGAATCTTCTTAATTTATTTGAGCAGATGGTGAACCTGTATTTTTTAAAATATTAGTTAACCAGTGATTGAACAAATTTTTGAATTTCATGGCCATATGGAATAGATACTATTCTGTGAAGGCCCTTGGAAAATCATTTCTCCTATTTAATTTCATTAGACAATCGGTAAAAGAAGAGTTTTCCCAATTTTCCTTATCCTCCAAAAACTTTACCTGGCCCCAGCTAGTAACTGTTCTGGAAAACTCTCTCTCTGTTTTGGTATATTATGCTATTTTGTCTTCTTATGGCCATGCATAAGCTTTGTATTGAATTTGAAACTCTGGTTTTGATAATTGTCAATGACTCCCAGATCTTGGAGAAATAGCACGGGCCAAGTTTGATTTTGATGTGGTTGGGCACTATTCAAGACCAGAGGTCCTTAGCTTGATTGTGAGGGATCATCCTGCAGCCCCAGTTACTTTTACATCAGCATCGGTGAAAACAGAAGGCTCCCAAAAATAGTTGGATCCAGCTATTTGTTGAGTTATCATACATATTTTGGTGGCCCCTTCACTAATAAACAGATGGGTGCTGGTTCTAATCTGATTCAGCTGTATAAGATTGATGTGTCTATCCCGTCCAGCTATACTGACAACTTTCTTTGTAGTCAATGTTGTATGTATGCAAACTGACAATCTCTTAAGGTATCAACCTGTTATTCTGTTTTTCCTATTTGTCAAATGTAAATTGGTGTTACCGTTATGTGGTTTGTTGTTATTTCTGGTCCTAACATATGGTAGAAAAATGCTTATAACGATTAGTAACAATATTTACTTCCTGGACATCTGCTTCATCACTCCTTTTATGGTAGTTCTGGCTATTCTTCTCTTCAGCCTCTTGTGTCCTCTAGATTTTGTGGCATGCCTTTTTTGGCATATTCTTTGGAACTGCGAGGCTCTTCACAGGTGGGAGGCAGTGATGAATTGATTGAGAGGCATCTATTCTTGACTGTTTTTGCTGACTTTTTATAATGTCCTGAGCTCTTTTACTTTGTAACTGTTGTGTAAATCCTTCTTGAATATATGTAAATCCTTTTCCTGATTCGGTTTCTCATCAGAAAAAGGTTCTGGGTATTCTTTTCTGCAAGGGGTTTTCCTTTTGTGTCCTTCTGTTGCTGCAACTAATATTTTTCATCTTCTTCTGAAATTGAAATGTAATGAGTAAGCTTGGTGCTTTGACAATACACCAATTGAATTTGTAGCATATTCCAACCTTTAGATATAAGATGCATCAAGATCAGATATATATGAAATTAAGAACTCAGTGGGCTTGGATACATATGTAAATTGTACCTGAGAGGGAACTAATGCCGCAACTGGCCTCAATGCTTCAATTTATCAACTGGGACATATTGCTACTATGATTAATTACCAAGAGATTCTTTATTATGTGACCTGTGCTGTTGAGTAAAAGCCAGAGGTGACATATTATTGATTGATTGCTGAGCTGGGATGGGATGGGATGGGATGGGGAAATCTACCTAAACTTGGAGCTATACAGAAACCTAACATGATAAAAAAAGTTCGGTCGCTGTTATGCCAAAAAATTGGAGATAAGTAAATATCACATCAAATCAAGTGAGATTATAACTAATTTCCTCGATCGAATCCCAAGAGAAGGTTCTTTTGAAGAGAGTGCAATTGAAGCAAAGTTGAAAGTAAGGCATCGTCAAGATAAGTAGTTGAAGACTTTGCGACAAGCTACTCAGAAGCCTTTTTAAGATACAAGTTTAGATTAGAATCACATGCTTGACGGTGGGTGATTGAAACTTGTAGGCAAAGTCTGACAAATTATTAATAGGATCCATGTTAGGGCGGCCTTCATTATTTGATCAATCCGCCGTCTTACCATGTGTTTCTAACTTGACCTTTTTTATTTCATTAAACAATTCCAACTACCTTGCATGATTGATTCAAACACCTACTAACTCTGCAAATTTGAGATTTTTTCCAATCTTAAATACGTATTCTATCATATTCACATTTAACATTTGATTTAAATCAAATTTATCAAACAACAAATAAAAGTGACCAAGATTTTGGAAATCCTCAAAATTCCAATACATTTAAGTTGACTTCTAAATTTTGATTCATCTAATATTCTTCTTAACAAAATGGACTAAACTTTGAAGAATTTTTGGAGTGCATGATATGCTTTTCATGAAATTCCTTGAAAAAGAATACATACTTCAAAACTTAAAGGACTCAGAACAAGCTCTGCAGTAGCTTTACCAGACCTTACAGCCTTGCATAATATTCTATATACATCTTGCTTACATATTCATTAACACAAATACATTCGTTAATGGGAATATTCTCCAGGGAATTGCAATTTGCAAACAAAACAGTAGTTAAAACAAGGATCAAAAGTGGAGATTTTTGTCTTCAACTTGTTGAAATCCTGCATTCACTTGTTGATGGTTCCACTAGCTTGTGATTCAAGGCATCGCCCTGACTTTCCCGACCTTCACTTCCAGGATCCTGCTGAGGCAAGGATTGGCCCCATTGGCGCGTTGGACTTGCAAAGCTTTGAAAAGATGCCATCTTGGAACCAGATAGAATATGATCTCGAAGACTTTTGATTGATCGGTATCTCTTGATTTCGTCTGCAAGTTCTTGTGTTTGAGTTTGCGAAACAATCTCTGCTAATCTTTCCCTGTCAAGTTCACCTGAATGTTCCTTGTAGTTCCAATCCATACCATTAGAAGTTCCTCTTTCCAAGCAAATGCTTCCCCATTGAATTTTCTCAATAGATTTCCTCCCTTTGATTCCTTTATCAACTGAGACTCTCTTCATATCATCTTGAGCATAACTCCAGTTATAGCTCCGGTTACTATTGTCCATGTTTAATTCAATGGAATGAAGATCACTATCAGCTGAGTCATCTCCCTCATGCTCATCTCCATTGTCTACTTCCCCTTCATACTCCTTTGTCTCTGTATTTTCACATAAACCAAATTGGATTTTCTTCAAATAAGCTTCAAGATCCTTGATTCTCTCGAAATTCGGAGACAATTCTCTATTTTCTTCTCCTTTTTTGGTTCTCAAGTAGGCCTCAAGCTCATTTCTTAGCCTTTCCACAGCTGCATTTTTCTCCTCAAAATGGTACTTAGCATCTGAGAGCTTCATCTGGACTCTCTCCTCACGCAAAACATCGGCAAGTTGAAGCATCTCCCTCTCCTTTTCAACCTCTTCTCTAGCTTTAACTGACTCTCTCTTTAGCTCTTCTACCTCGGCTCTGTCTTCTCCAATGCCTCTAGCTAACTCATCACAAACTTGCTCCAATATCTCTTTTGCCCTCTTCTCACTCTCCAATTCTTTCATTGCATTTGACAGCGATGATTTCGTCTCTGCCAATTCTTTTCCAAGCTTCTTGTTTAATCTCTCTGTTTGTCGCCTAAGCTTCTTCTCCACCTCAAGCTCTTCTGCTATGCATGCTATGGCATGGCGAATCCTGTCTCGCTCCTTCCTTTTCCAAGCCGCCTTTTCTTCTGCGAAATGCTTCATTAAGTACTCAACCTCATTGTGATTAGACCGCTGCTCTTTAATCAAATGATCAACTTGAACACGAGCTCGATCAAGCTCAGCCCGTATAGCTGAGATAAGAGATATGCTCGATGAATGCTGCTCTTCAAGACCCCAAATACGATTGAGAACTTTCAAAAGTTCTTTTGATGCGTTTAGGCCATTACAAACATCCTTCAAACGGGTTTTAATTGCAGTTATAGATCCACCATGAGTCTTGCCTCGTGAATGAGCCTCTATCTGCATTTTATTCTATTAGATCATTACAATTTATGCTCTTCTTTAATTTTCATACTTAAAAATCTCACCCCCCCAAAAATAAGTAAACAACCGAAGATCGAATAGTTTTTAACAAATTGTCAAGTCTGAAATTTAGATACACCTATTTACAGATTTATAATTCAATAGACAATACATAGAAGCTGCAATGCATCTCTATTCTCGAGTTTTCGAAAACATATATATAATTAATTGCAACTTAATTTGTCAGTAAGAAAACTGCCTTGGATGTTTATGGAAATAGTGATAACTTTTTGGAAATCTATGTCAAATTATGCGATAAAACAAGATAATGTTTCAATTAAAACCACACAAACGAGTACATTTAGTATATATTGTCATGTACCTCCATAACACTGGCATTGTTCAGAGAGTCCAATGTCCCACCAAAGTCATAATCAGGAACTTGAAGCTTCTGAGAAAACACTGAATTTCTTCTCCGACAAGAATTCCCTCTGGATTGATCCATTCCCTGCACAATTCAACAAATAAAGATAAATTTTCAATCCACAAATCAAATATTTAAATATAAAAAAATAGACTTAATCCCACCTCTGAAATTGGACTATAAGATGGATCTGACAAGTGTGGAGGAAGAGTACCAGACTCTGAACCTCTCAAAACTCTTTCTTTACTTCTCAAATCTTGTTTCTCCAACTCTTTCTTCCCTTTAGAAGAAGGGATTTTGTTGATTTCCCACAAAGTGGCCGCAAGTTTTCGCGCTGAAACCGAGACTTCCTTGCCTCTATCTCCTCCCTGAGAAGGCATAACACTACTGGGTTGTTGCTCTGCAGTTGGCATTACTAAAGATGGAGACTTGACGCTGGTCTTCCATGTCGGAACTGGCGTGCTAGAACCACCTCTCTTCCCCACAAGAATTGCACGTTTAAATCTGTATTTTTGAACCAACGACGACGATGAAGACGATGAACAACCCCGCTTCCTGATCTTACTTAGACCTGTACTCTTCGTTTCGGAGTTGTGGTTTTGCCATGACATTGTGATATCGAAAATTGAGTACTGATATAAAAGAAAAGTGTTGCAACAGAATGTAAATAAATTAAAATTTTGAAAATGGGCAAAAGGTGGGCTCTGAAAGTGAAGAAACGGACATGGTGAGGGTGACAGAGGGGTGAAGTTGATGGAATGGAAGATTTATGGGAGAGTGAGAAAAATTTGTAAGATTTAGGAGGAGGGGAAGTGGTAAAGTTTATGATGACCACTTTGCTTTATAGCAAGTCCAAACTTGTAGTCTTGAATTCCTCAAACAAATTAAAGTGACAATCAAAGATTCTTCTTCTTCTGGGGGATTTATATTAATAAGCAGTCTAAAGATTGAAAAAGAAAAGGAAAGAGGGGATTTGTCAAAAATGGAATGGTGTTGAAATGCTTTGATTCAGAATTATTAAAGAGGGAAATAAACAAAGTAAAAGTGCTGTATTGGGATTAAAACACTACAATCCGACGTGGCATCCACGTCAGCCTTGTATTTCAATCAGAAACGTGCATCTGTAAGTAAAATGACTGTCTTTTCTATATTTATTCTGTCTCCCTTAATCTTAACTTGTATTTTTTTTATTTTTTCTTATCCGCCCACTTCTCTTACAATATATACTAGAAGGCCCTCTACTTTTCAAATTTTCATATACTAGCTTTTGGTGTCATGTTTTATTACTATTTATCATTTATTCTAATGAATTGTTTCAACGTGTTTTTTAAGGTATACGTTAGGAATATTACAAGATTATAAATTAGTTATTTCGATGTATATTATATGAAAAGGTAAAAACAATAATTTTTAATATATCAAAATATTAAATTTTTTGTTTTCTAGTATCTTTAATATATATGTGCCCTTTAAACACACAATAAAACGACTCTAATATGCTTTAAAAATAAAAATTTTGATTATGAATGGGGATTCAAAAAAAACTTTTATTACACTTAAAAGAAAAAGATTTCATTTGTATCAATAATAGACACATTTTCCATTTGATACATACTTTTTTTTTAATCGCTAAAAATATATTTTTTTCAAGATATTTTCTAAAGAAGTATGTTATAAGGGCTAAATAAATATGTACAATGGGAGTGAAAAAAAATTATAACTTGTCATTTTTTTTTTTAAGTTAAAAAAGAAGTTTCCTTTAAATGGTAATATCTCTTATGTATTACTTATAGAAATTGAGAAAAAAAAAAGCATAAATTGGGGTTCTAATAGAATATATTAATTTTTAAAGGGAAAAAGTAATAAGAAAGAAGAAGGGGTGTATATGAAAATAAGAAAAGAAGGGAAAAGTAGAGAGTAATAATTGTATAGCATTGCCATGTTTTATGAAGTCAATCAATCAAAAAAAAAGTGAGTCAGGATCTTGGAAGAACAGGAAATGTTTAAGAAGAGTGAAGGGTTGGGAAGCCAGCAGGAGGTGGGTCCTCTCTAACGGCTCATAGTTGGGATTTCATAGCTGTTTTTACAAATAAATCAGACCCCCACACTGCTTCTTTGTCCTGCTTTTCTTTTGGTTACAATTATATGTGATGGATGGTTTTTGGACCTTCAACTTCAATTCGAATATTATTTTCACTTGGAAATCCAAATATCTTCAGTCATCTGTCTATGGATTTATTTCTTTTTTCCTTTATTTAGAAACACTGCTAAACCCCATAATGTTGGTTTTTCTAAACTATAGTGAATGAGTTAAATACTAAGCGTACCAGAGGGTGTCAATTAATGATAGGATTTTACATGAAAATGAAAATAGTTGGAATGAAATGGGGGAGCATAACTACGGGTCATGTGCACTGAATCTGAAGTGCACATTCTTTTAAATACTCATATAGCTATAGGATATGCTTGGCATAAAAGTAGATAATGATTTTGAACATGTTATTATAACAATCATTTGTTGGCCTAATTAATTTTTAACAATTTAGACATGGTATTTGTTATACCAATGGTTGGTCAAAGTGTTGACCCAGTGAGATACATAAATCATATAATCTAGTTTTTATTTTATTTTGAACCCATGACCTCAATTATTGATGAAGAAGTTGTAATGTCATCCCTTAACATTATGATTAATTATTTCCTTAAAAATTGGGACTCAACACAACAATTGGAATCACATAATTAAACTAAGTTGCAGAATCTTTTCATCAAATTGATACTGGGACCTTATGTTTTGGTCAATAGTTGCGCACAAATATTAGAAAACATAAATTAAACAAAGTGAAGAGTTATAGAGATAGAAACTAAATTCAAAAGTAATCCTCAGTCCTTCCTTTGAACCCAATTTGCCCAAAAGTGAGGCACAAGAACAACCCCAAATGCCATGTGACCAACCACAACCTGCACATCATAAAATAAGTGCACAATACCTTCAATTATCCATTCATCATTTTGGAATAGTATTATATACCCTTGAATTATCGTTTATCCTTTTAAAATTATTATTTACCTCTTTAGAATTGAGCTTATCATTCCATTAAAAATTATCAGAAACCCCTTTATTAGAGGAATGCATAATACTTTTCCAATCTCATGGGTAAATTTATGTTACACCATCTCTCAGGGGTTAGATAATAAGCCCTATTTGCATATGTGGAGTGATTAAATATATTTATTACTATAATATAGTTTCTCAACACCTCACAAAATTGGTCCCATGGTCTAGTGGTCAGGACATTGGACTCTGAATCCAGTAACCCGAGTTCAAACCTCGGTGGGACCTCTTTTAGTTTCTTCTTTCTACTCTTATATTAAAACCTCAGAAACAACACTTAATTTATTTTGACTAATTATCCTTAATCCAAACGGTATAACTTATTAGATTTATTATTTTAGAATTGTGAATTGCAATCAGAAAATTATATTTAGTAATAATACTCACCAGAACTGGGAAGTAAGAGGAGGGGGCGAGGGGAAGTGAGCGAGCTCAGTCCCAATGCTCTCGAAGAAGAGTCCAGTCAAGCTCTTTCCATTGATGGCTGGTATGCTTGATGGCGCTATCCATCCGATCAACCCAAATCCTATCACACTAAAATCTCTACGCAGCCAATCTCTTTCAAAGCTGATCATCCATAATCAAATTAATTCATTATAAACCTAAACACATCATCATTATATCTAAGCTCAAACCCAAACACAATTCCAACTTACCATACAAACTTTCCTCCCGAAGCACCAGCCAATCTCAGAGGATTCCTAGCTGTCACTCCTGATTTCACAAAGCCTGCAGAAACACAAAATATAAACGTAAATCGATCATCATTGAAAGACTGTTGGGGTTAAGATTTAAAAAGAAATATTAATTACTTGAAGTAAGAGCAGAAGCTGATCTCTTTGGTGAAGAGACACGGGAAGATTGTAGTGAGGAACTTGAACTTCCAAGGCCTACAATGGTGGATGAGGTGGCAAATGTTGCTGCCATTTTGATGGTGCTAGAATAAAGGGTGGTGAACTGAATGATGAGAAAATATTAATGTTGGTGTTAAACGGGGTAGGATTTTGTTGTATGAGATGGAGGATTTTGTGGAAGAGAAAGATTTGCATGGGTGGTTTGTGGTTCAATGAAGTTATGACACGATGGAATTGTATGGATAGAGTGGGGCTAATGGCTGATTTGTTATCCTTACCGCCAATATGCGGGCTTGACAATATAGACTTTTGGGTTATCAAATTGGGCTCAGCCTCTTCTGTTCAATGAAAGTTTTCCCAATAAACTTTATTAACATGATATAAACGAAAAAGCCAAAATTTTTTACATTTATAAACATGGAATTCCGATTGCAGTGTTGGTTGAAAAATGACAATGGTAGCAAAGGTCACGGCGTGTGCTAAACCTAAAGGTCACAGGTCACAATCGTAGTGAAGGCTGTGGCTGGTCTTAGTGATAGTGGCTAAACCTGATCGGGGGCATTTAATTATAATCTGATTACCTGCAATCTTGACGTTAGGCGGTTTTTGAGTTATGGAGTGGCTCCGCCAGTGCCAGTGTGTTTGTGGCTTGTATTCCTCTTCAATTTAATTTCAAATATTCAAAACTACATTTGCTTGCTTATCGTGTCTCAGTACAACTGTACCGCCCGCATAATTATTTGGTCAGATAAAGGCATTAATTATGTACTTAAAACTGTAAAATACAGGTACGCAGAATGTATAATCTTTTTATAACAATCATACACAAAGTCCAATTATTATACTTAATTAAGCTTAAATCATTAATTCCCTTTGATTAACGTTTATGACCTTAATGTGACAACAAAAATTGATTATCTCTACCTAATTGATTATTTGCCATCATATCATTACCAAAACCCACAAACTAGCCTCTCTTAATTTGTCAGCACGTATTACACGTTGAGGACCATATTTGAAACATCAAATTTAATTAAAGGACTGACATTAGAATTCCTTTAAAAATGTTGAGAGAAGAATATTTAGGAGATAGAGGAAGACAAAGCAAAAAGCGGTAAATGAAGGCAGCTGGCTAATAAGCTAGGAGTGAGCTTGCGGAATTGTAACGAATTCCGCCGGCTTCATCCTTAAATATTCTCTTAAGTCAAACCAAAATACTATTACCACTTGCTCATGTCCTTTCCAAAAGCCCAGATCCTTCCCACTTGGATAATTTCAACCATCAATTTCAAATTAAGGGCTACTGCCTTCAATCATATATCCATTTCAGACTAAACCATGGACAAATCCATGTACAGATGCGTGGGTTTTTCTTCTTCTTATATTTGTTTAAATTTTAATTTATGAAACAGGACTGGAAACTTGTAGATTAGTGAAACTTGGGTGGGAACATGTCGTTTACTCATTTATAAATTCACCATACTTATATCAATTTTCTAATACCTATTAAACAAATAAATATAAATTTATTTATTTAAAAAGAGAGGTAATTTTATATTATCTTATCAATTAGAAAATAAAAATAGAATACCTTTATCACAAATTTTATACCTGGATCTTAACAGAATTTACGGTGTTCCCGATGTAAATGTAATGTATGGATCTCATACATGAAAGAGAAGGAAAATGTGGCTGTAACCCAGATATGTATGAGAATCAAACAGCTGCATCCCCTTCATAGCTCATTATATTATAATTACAATTTACTATTAAAATTATTAAACGAATTAAAGAAATAAATTATAATCAAATGAATATCCTCTTTTACCTAAACAAAACGAAGGACCAAATAGCCAGAAATATACTAACTCCCGTGGCAATACAAGCCATATCTAATGACCTTTCTCTCCTTTGCTTCCTTTCTCTTCTCTCTCTTTTTCTCTCCACAAATTCTTCGTATTTCTTTTTCCCTTCCTTTCCATTCCCTCTTTTTCTCCTCCCATTCTCCATTGCCTTCTCCAAAATTACCAAACTATCCCTCCCGCTCAAATTCCTCCCCTCCATGTCCTCCACTTGCAAACTCACTTCCCTCACGTGCACATCCCCTCCCTCTTTTCCCCCGCACGTGACCACCACCTCGCATTTCACAAACTCCGTCTCTGATCGTTCATCTCCCGCCAAGATTGTCGCGAATCTCGCTTGTATTTCGCCCGTTAGCCAGTGCCGCTCCACTGAAACCGCTCTCCCGCTCGATAAATTCACCGACTGTTTTTGTACTGGGTTAATCAATATCCAACTCAACGTCAAGTTCTCCTCAATATCATTCAGCCACGTGTCACCTAGGCCACCGTGTTCTATCGGCGTCAAAACCGATTCTTTCAGGTCAAATAAATCGACCCGAAATGGCGAACACAAGAACCACCCTGTTACTGTCTCAATTTCTTGAGTTTTAGATATGATGAGGGAGTTTTTATAGTAAATATCAACACAAGAGATTAACTCGGTCGTTATAATTGAAGAAAAATCAAGATTGTGCTTCAAAGATTGTTGATGATCAAGAACCGGAAATGAATCAGAAAAGAATGAACGGTAACCAGCGGAGAAGGTTGAGATGACGTGGCTAATACGTGGGTCATTGATGGAGGGCCAAGTTGAGTTGCAAATATTTCGCCATAGTTTCTCTTCCGTGGAAAGAAAATATAACTCGGAGGAAGCGCAGGCGGCGGCGGCGAGAGTTGGGCCGTCGAGGCGGGTGAAGATATTGGTCTGGATGATGTCAGGATGAAGGGTTGAGAAGGGTGTGGCGCTATGTTGAGGGACGGTTGGTGATGATAAAGAAGTGGGAAAAGAAGACATTGTTATGTGTTGAAAAAAATGTTTGAAATGTGTTGGAAGAGGCGCGTCAGAGAGTGGGGGGGTTTTATAAAGAAGAAATGAAAAGGAGTCAAAAGTGGATGATTACAACTTGTTTGACTATTTCTTTGTACAAAAATTCTATTTAAGCTTCATTTCTCCCACAGCGCCGACGGTTTTTCATGTCCCCTTGCTCCTAACTTCTCTTTTCTAGTTACTTAAAATGTGATTTATGCTAATACGTCATCCGCTCTTTTATACGGATTGTAATACAATCAGTGGCGGACCCAAGGTTTTTTTTTTTTTTTTTTTTTTTAGTTGAGCGGGGGCTCCGCGGCTACTTACTGTTTGTTAATTATCTGATGAAAACTTTAAAAAAATCATCAAATTTTAAACAGAAAAATTAATATAATATTAAAAAATTGAAAGAAAATAATATAATAATATAATACTTTTCTACTTAAATAAATCTACGAAAAACAAAACTTTAAACAAATATGTTAAAAATTATATCTAACTCATAAGGAAGTATAAAAAAATTTTAATGTGAAAAAATCTCTTAAATATAAAGAGAATAAAAGACCACGAGAATCTAATAATTCATTTAAATCCAATATAATCAAAAGAGTTCACAACAACCACAATTTACCAAAAATATTTCATACAAATTTGAAGTCTAATCATAATTTTAACATAAGTAAAATACATAAATGTTTACAAAGAAATAAACTAAAATCACCAGAGAAGCGGTCATACTTTAATCTACATAATTCCAAATCCAACTATTAAAATCAAAACTCAACCATTGAGATTAAAAATTCAACAAAACTTTGCCTTATTTGCTCATCAGCCAAACATACTACAAAAAATATACTTAAATAAAAAAAAATATAATTTAGAGCAATATTATTAAACGAAAAGGAGGTAAAAAAACAACAAATGTTTGCCTCATTTTCTCATCAATCTAACCGACTAAAAACACCTTAATAAATTAAAATAAAATAAACGGTAGTATTCAGAGCAAAATACAAAACAAAAAGACTGTAAAAAAAAGTGAACAAAACTTAGCATCATTTTCTCATCAACCTATCAGACTAAAAATAACTTAATAAAATAATATAAGAACCATAGAATTCAAAGAAAATTACAAAAGATAAAGACAGTAAAAATAAATAATGATCAAAACTTTGCCTCATTTTCTCATCAAGGAAACACATAACAAAAGTCAAACAAAAAATAATTAAGAATTCAGAGCACAAAAATAAAATAAAATAATCTAACACATTAAAAAAAATAGAAAAATCAACCTCATTTTCTCGGTAACCAAACATGCAAAAAACAGTTGAAAAGAGCGAATACCTTAGAATTCAGAGGTTGAAGTTGAAGAGAATAGCGAGCGTGAGTTTGTGTTCAGAGGTTAAGTCTTGTATAGTTATACAAAACTGACAATTATTGGTTTTGAAAGAATGATAATTCTTTCAATTATCTGTATGAGTTTTTACCTTTTTTATTTCAGAAAATTGGTAAAGGTCACTTGTAGAAGTGGTTTTTGATTAATGTTATAAAGTTTACTCTTGATGAATTTTAGGAGAACTTTATGATAATTTGCAAAAACTTCACGAGAATTCTTGTTGAAGCTGAATGTTTTTACTAAATTTCAAAGGACATCATTGTTAGGAATGAGTACTTAAATTGTTTCTGCAAAAGCTTCTGAGTTAGAAGGAAGAGATGGTGTATTGCAGGGCATTTTTGCATCATTAAAGTTAGGGTGGTTTTTGTTGCATAAAATTTGGTAGTGAAAAATGAAAATGCCCTCTATTGTTGGATTCTTCACACTCATTATTTGGTTATCTCATCAAATGAAAAGTAAAAATTTTTAAATTTTTATTTACTTATCCTCAAATGGCCTGGGTCCATCCATGAATACAATCAATATATATATATATATATTAAAATTCATTAAAAAAAAAATTACTCCCTCCGTTTCTTTTTAAGTGACGTTTTAAGACTTTGCACAATTTTTAAGAAAACAAATTTCTCTCTCCTTATACTGACTCTTTCACTGAAATTGCAATGGGAAAATTTTGATTCTCCCGCTGCTCTTCACCCGCATTTGAAAAAGAAAGAGAGAGAGAAGATAAGGGATAGAGATGGAGAAAAAGAGAGCAGAGATGAGGGCTGAGAAAATTGGAATACAAAGGACAGGGGAATTCATCGAGGAAGAGAGAGAGGATGGAGTAGTCAAACGACTTTTATTTTGGCAAAAAAATACTTTCCTAAAACGTCTATTAAAATGNAGAGAAGAAATGAAAAGGAGTCAAAAGTGGATGATTACAACTTGTTTGACTATTTCTTTGTACAAAAATTCTATTTAAGCTTCATTTCTCCCACAGCGCCGACGGTTTTTCATGTCCCCTTGCTCCTAACTTCTCTTTTCTAGTTACTTAAAATGTGATTTATGCTAATACGTCATCCGCTCTGTTATACGGATTGTAATACAATCAGTGGCGGACCCAAGGTTTTTTTTAATTGAGCGGGGCCTCCGCGGCTCCGTATTGTTTGTTAACTACATAGTGAAAATTTTAAAAATATCATTAAACTTTAAAAAAAAAAATAATATAATATTATGAAGCTAAAAAAAAATGATATAATAATATAATATTTTCCTACTTTAATAAATTTATGAAAAGCAAAACCTTGAATAAATATGTTAAAAATTACATCCAACTCATAAGGAAACACAATAAAATTTTGATATGAAAAAATTTCTTAAATATAAAGAGAACAAAAGACCACGAGTCTCTAACAATCCACTTAAATCTAATATAATCAAAAGAATTCACAACAACCACAATCTACCAAAAATATTTTATACAAATTTGGAGTCCAATCATAACTCTAACACAAGTAAAATACATAAATGTTTACAAAGAAATAAACTAAAATCACCAAAGAAGTAGTCATACTTTAATCTATATAACTCTAAATCCAACTATTAAAATCAAAACTCAACCATCGAGATTAAAAATTTAACAAAACTTTGCCTCATTTGCTCATCAGCCAAACATACTACAAAAAGTATACTTAAATAAAAAAAATTAGAATTTAGAGCAATATTATTAAACAAAAAGGAGGTAAAAAAACAACAAAAGTTTGCCTCATTTTCTCATCAATCTAACCGACTAAAAACACCTTAATAAATTAAAATTAAAAAACCGTAGTACTCAGAGCAAAATACAAAACAAAAAGACTGTAAAAAAAGTGAACAAAACTTAGCTTCATTTTCTCATCAACCTATCAAACTAAAAATAACTTAATAAAATAATATAAAAACCGTAGAATTCAGAGAAAATTACAAAAGATAAAGACAGTAAAAAAAAAATTATGATCAAAGCTTTGCCTCATTTTCTCATCAAGGAAACACAGAACAAAAGTCAAACAAAAAATAACTAAGAATTCAGAGCACAAAAATAAAATAAAATAACCTAACACATTAAAAAAAATAGAAAAATCAACCTCATTTTCTCGGTAACCAAACATGCAAGAAGTAGTTGAAAAGAGCGAATACTTTAAAATTTAGAGGTTGAAGTTGAAGAGAATAGCGAGCGTGAGTTTGTGTTCAGAGGTTAAGTCTTGTATAGTTGCACAAAATTGACAATTATTGGTTTTAAAAGAACGATCATTCTTTCAATTATCTGTATGAGTTTTTACCTTTTTATTTCAGAAAATTGGTAAAGATCACTTGTAAAAGTGGTTTTTGATTAATGTTATAAAGTTTACTCTTGATGAATTTTAGGAGAACTTTATGATAATTTGCAAAACTTTAAGAGAATTCTTGTCAAAGCTGAATGTTTTTACTAAATTTCAAAGGACATCATTGCTAGGAATGAGTACTTAAATTGTTTCTGCAAAAGCTTCTGAGTTAGGAGGAAGAGATGGTGTATTGCATAGGCATTTTTGCATCATTAAAGTTGGGGTGGTTTTTGTTGCATAAAATTTGGTAGTGAAAAATGAAAATGCCCTCTATTCTTGGATTCTTCACGCTCATTATTTGGTTATCTCATCAAATGAAAAGTAAAAATTTTTAAATTTTTATTTACTTGATTAAAAAAAAAAAAAATTATCTTTTAGTATCGGACAACCTTTAAATATAAATATCTTCATAACATGTTACACTTACTCTTAATTTTAATATAAAGATCAAAGTCAGATGACATTAGGTTGGTTTTTTAAAGTTTATTAAAATTAATTGCTAATATTAATTAATAACAGATTAGGGGCATTTTGGTAATTCAGTAAAAATTGCCTGGGGTGATGAACGTGTGGGCATGTGGATGGATATTACGCTTCGTGTTGACACGACACACATGCAATTACAACAAAGAGTTTTGATACAGAGATTACGTGGCAGTCTGTCCACCTTATCCAGAAATACAATTTCAAGATACAAAGACGGACATTAATCACATAGAATTCAGAGTCATAGACCCATAAATACAGTATGGGAATTGTAAAATTGGGAAGGCTTAATCATATACGCATTAATTGTTGTAGAAAACTAGTTTTCCAATGGAATATTACACCAATTCGTGTCGTATATATGAACGTACAGCATTAGTTAAGTACATATGTTTCACATTTCGACTGAGTTGTACAATCTAATCCATTATTTTGATTCATGGACACATGAATAATATTCAACATATTGAAAGGCTATGTTTTTTGAGGTTAAATTGATGGTCAAAGCAAAAGAATCCAAATGTATATTTCTATTTCTTTTGTTTACCCTGATGGACGACGAGGAATGATTGTGTTAATGTAAGAGTCTCAATTGGAGCTTAACTTTTTGAGAGGCCAAATGCCATTGCAGACCATTTGGCCTCCAATATTAATTAAGCAACTACTCATTTAGACGCCAATAATAACCATTCAATTTACAAAGAGGTGTTTTGGCAGATGAAACTATTATTGCTTACTTTCACCAAAGACAATGCAGTTTGTTTATCATAAGAGAACCGCCATTGCATTGCAATTTCGTCTTTTCTTTTTATTTGTTTCTGTAAATTCAACAAAACATTGAGTTGCATCATTTTAACACTTTGGATGGGATTATGAGTTTCTGACCAAATTCAAGAGATTTGCGCATTAATACATGATGTGTATATAATATGTGGTCACATCTGTGAATTGAAATGTAAGGGCTTGCCCAAGTTTGTCTCCCAAAATTGAAAAGAGCATGAAGAACTAGTCAATAATACTATTTAATCATCATATGGTTAGGACACAAATCAGGGAGATACATTTTTTTTTTCTCAATATAGACGGAGTCCAAATTGGTGTTGAAATTCTTCAAAATTTGTTGAGAGTTCCTTACTAAAACTTTGTCAATTAAATTTATATTGTTAATTAATCAATTTATGTACAAGGAAAATTAAAGTTGGATTTGACTGCATTAAATTAGGTGCTTGGTTCAATGAGAAAAGCAATCAAATTGGACTATGAGACGGCTTGTGAGAAGAAGAGTGTAATTGAGGATAGAGATTGGGTTTATCATTATGTCATGCAAATTGCAATCGTATTATCAAAGTTGCATTCCTTATCTCTAATTTCCACATCAAATGATGAAAAGGAATAATAATTCCCTTTGGGATTTATTAATGATCCTCCAATTTAGATTTCAACCTATGCTTTTTATTTTTAATCAATTACAATATGAAAACAATACTAACTTGAAATACTGAACCGATCCAGGCATATATATATATATATATATATATATATGGATCTAGGGACAATGTTACTTGTCGGGCTAGATGGATCCGGTAGCTAAGCCTTATCCAGCATTTAGTGTGAGACCAATAATAATATACAAAAGGCTTATTTATGTATTCCCTTTTCTATTACAAAAGATGGAGCTTATAAGAAATAAAGAATGAAAAATAATAAGAACAATTTGATAGCATAAAGGCTAATTTGACTTATCATCTCCTTTAATTGCATGGGTGTGCTCAACTTAAAAATCAATGGGGTTGGAACTTAAAACTCACCACTCTACAAACTATTAGCTTTTGATTTACAACAATCCAATGATTCTGAGTTCTTCCTTGAATCTTACAATACTCATAATTTTTTTAAAAATAAAACTGTTTTTCAACTAATCAGTAAGAATTCCCGTCTTATATAGAGAGAGAAGAGATCAAAGAAATAAAGAGTGCAGTTAGAGTACCACTTCTGATTTGGAGAAAATTAAACCTTCTAATTCTGAGGAAACTTCAGTGGAAATGGACTCACAAATAACGTTGGGTGCATTTTTATCCAACTTAATAATTTATCATAAACAAGGCTTTGTCATCCTGGCGTACGTAAGCAACAGTAGTAAATATTATTCAAATTCTAAAAATTGACTGCTTTAATTAGCTCCGTTAACAAATCTGAAATATCTCACTAATGCTACATTCTAGTTTGCTACATTTTATCTTTTAAGTTTATTCTATTAAATTGTTTTAATATATAGAAATGTTTTTATTTCAAAAATACCATTCTATTTGTATTTTTTATACTTTTTGTTTTGAATGTAATGTTCTGAGATGAAACTCATTCACATGTGTTTTCACTGTTTGAAAATAGAATTGGGGGTTTATTGAATAGCGGTTTATGATTTAAAGAGGAAATACAATTTTTTTGGATATGTATAACTATTTTATATCTTATTTGATGATTTTAATAAGGGATCAAATTATAATTAAAATTGTGGTCTAAATAAAGAGATAAAAATATAAGGGCCAATAGCATCACTCCTATGCAAATTATAACTATTACAAAATTACATGTTTTCGCATTAAGATATGATTTTCGTGATAGGATAAAAAAAAAAAATAAAAGACTTGTGTAGCATGAAATATTCTCCCGTCAAACTTAATTTTATTCTGATAAATTAGATATATGAAAGAGATGTCAAGTTCATGTTGGTAAATTAGCATTTTCGATCTTAATTGCTGCTGCCCACAAAGGTGCGACGTGGCTTATAATATTTAATGTTTGTTCATAAGTCAATTCACTTTAATACGAAACAGTGATTTGGAATTCGCGAGATGGGAATTGGAAACCCTGAAAGCTATCAGAGTTTTAACCGGAGAATTTTCTTGGCCGCCTATGACTTGAAAAACTATACTTCCAACACTAAAATATTCGCATAGAGATTTACTAAGTCTTCTATATGAACAATTTATATGACCAAAAAGCTACAGCAACAACAAAACAAGATACACAGACGATGTTTAAAACCTTTTCCATTCTTTCCTTTCCCTCTTTCCTTTCTCTTTTCTTCTCCAAAAACTCTTCATATCTCTCTTTCCCCTCTTCTATCTTCCCACTCGTCTTCCCCTTCTCAAAAGCTCTTTGCAAAATTACCAAACTCTCCCTCCCATTTAAACTTTTCTCTTCCATGTCCTTCATCTGCATGCTCACTTCCCTCACGTACATTTCTCCTCCTTCCTCCCCTCCCAGTGTCACCATAACCTCACACTCTGCAAACTCCCTCGCCGAAAACAATTCCCACCGTTGACGATGATCGCTTGCAATGACTATCGCTGCATACTTCACATGCACTTCACGTGTCAACCAGTGTTGCTCCACTGAAACTGGCCACCTGCTGGATAAATTTACTGCTCGCTTTCTACCTGAATCAATCATTATCCAACTCAAAGTCAAGTTCTCTTCAAGGTCTTTGATCAAAACTTTAGTTTCACTTGCAAATTTTATCGGCGTTGTTACCAGCTGTTTTTCGTCCAGTAAGTCGATTCTAAAAGGAGGAAACTGGAACCAGCCGGTGACGGTCTCAGTCTCCACAACTTTAGAGAGAATGAGATTGTTTTTGTAGTGAATATCAACGGCTGAGATTAACTCTGTTGTGAGAAGTAAGGAATGATCAAATTCAAGCGTGTATGACGGCGGGACTTGGCAGTTTAGAACTGGAAATGAATCGGAAAAGAAAGAACGGTGAGCGGCAGGGAAGCTGGAGATGAGAGTTTGGACACTTGGTTGGTTGGTGGAAGGCCACGTGGAGTTGCAGATTTGGCGCCAGAGTTTGTCTTGGAGGGATAGAGAGCGGAGTAGGGAGGAAGTAGAAGCTGCGGCAACGAGGGTTTGGCCATCAAGTCTGGTTAGGATTTGGGTCTGAATGATGTCTGCATGGAGGGTTGAGATTGCATTGCAGAGGGGTTGATGTTGATCTATTTTTGTGAGAGAAGAAGCCATTGTTGTGGGCGATGGTGTTTTTGGTTTAAGATACAAATTAAAAGGGACGTTATATAAGCAAGGAGTTTGTAAATTAATTAGTTTTTCATTGACTTACTGTTAGCTGCCAAACTGATGGAATATATTTATATCTTTTTCCATGGAAATTAAAGAAGACCAAATCAAGGAGAATATTGAAAGAAATACGACAAAACAATGGTCGTTTAATCTAAATGTCTGACCATATTAGTGACTTCATTTAATTTGCTTTAATTAATCAAACTTATTAATATTGACAAGAATAATAATTAAATAACTAAAGTTGCAGTAGATAAAGGATTAACTGTCAAACTCAAACATATGCTGACACGACACTGCTAAGAATTTTAACGGGTGATACATTATCTCAGATTTTGTCTTCTTCTTACAGAATAGAATTCTTCAACAATAACATAATAAAATAATTATACTAAATAATTTCCTGTTCAAATCAAGCTGAAGACATATATGAATAACTAAATGGTACATCTCAAAGAAAGTAACAAAAAAAATGTATCAATTAAATCATTATCCAGAATCATCAAGAATTTAATTTCATGCTATCACTTTCAATTGATGTTAAAAAAAGAGAAAAAAATAAACCCAATTGATTGATGACACGTTCTTCACATACTACCTCTTAAATTGTAGTGAAATAATGTAAGTTCTAATCTAAGGATTTCATTACATTTAATTAAAAAAAAAAAATTAAAATTTCAAATCAGAGTGGACCAACCTTTACTATTGGGATAAGTATTGATTCCTTTCTCATATGCTTTTGAGCAATTGGATAATTATTAGGGTCAATTTTGGTTTAAAACGATGCGGACTACGAGCATACTTGGCTGTCCGAAATTGACCAGTTTTTTTAAGTTTCTCTTTCTCTTTATGATACGATGACGATCGCCCTTCATTCATTGTCAATTGGCCTACTAAATTGTGTTGAAAAATAACCACGATGATCTACTTGTATTTTAGCCAAACCTTACTAAAAATTGTTTGACAAAAACTATAATTAATTGGGAAATTTACTTAGCTGACCATTTTTAAAAAGTCAAATTATAAAATAATCAACTTCTAACTGGCTTTATAAGCATATGATTTTTTGACACTTCTATCCATCTCTTTCACACTTAATCACATGAAGACAATTACTTTCATGAAAATGAAAAAAGCTTTTGATTTAATATTGAAACGTAGAATATTATGATTTTTTGAAAAAAAAAAAAAAAATTAGTACTCAAAAATATGTTTAGTACATAAAGAATGCAAAAAAAGAATTCAATTTTGGGTTGAAAATTCACTTTTCCGGAAAATTGATGAACAAGCCGAAAATTTTGAAAAAAGTCTTAGAGTCACTCAAGTCCAATCGCTCAAGTGGAGTACGCTTGAGTGGACCTTTTTGATATTTTATAAGGGTTATCTTAATATTTTTATGCAATCTATTATGTAAAATATCACTATCAACCATATAAAATATCAAAAGATCCCCTCGAGTGGTTAGAGTCCGGTTACTTGAGTTTATTCAAATTTATTGGAAATTAGTTCTTTCATTTCAAGTGTTCGAAAGTGTGTTTATCTTTTTGTCTCCCATGTTTCACTTATATTAAACACATGAACATATCATACACCCCTAAATACATACAAAAAATGTAAATTTATAAACATTAAGGAGAAAAAAGAAGAGAAAAGAGTGAATTGAAGGAGGAAAAGGGTAAAATCGTCCATAATTTGTATCAAAGTTCTTACCTACAACGACTATTAGAGATGGGTTGTTTTTTTAGTTTGACTCTTAAACTAATTAAGTAATTAATTATTTCTTTTAATTTGTCTAACAATTAATTGGTTAGCTGACTTAATAGGTCTAAATGCATAAGATAAAATGAAACATTTGTTTACGGGTTAAGCTTATTCTAACACAAATTCTTAGCCCTTCATTCAATGTAATTCATCCGACTTCGATGAGAAGTTAGATTTGGTTATTTGTAATGCCAACAACAATTTTTAAGTCATTGCATTACCATGAATCAATGGTTATGAATTTATTTCACAAATTGGTGTACATTTTTTTTGTTACAATAGGTTGACTTATTATTTAATACCCTACAATAAGTATATAGTTGTTTGTTTTTACAAATTTATGATAATCTAAAAGCTAGCGTTCTAACAAAAATGTTTTTGTTGTATAAGAATTTGCAAGAAATATAAATAAGAGGGATTAAACAAGAAGGCAAAATTATTAAGCGTTTGAATGCTAGACCTAGACTAGGATTTCATTATCATTTATTTGTAAAACTATGTATACAAAGGACTTTGGGGCTTTATATGGTAATTACAGGCGATTAATAAGTATCGTCAATGGAATTCACTTTAAATAATACTACTCATATAAAGTCATCTTATAAATTGATGCATACAAAATATAAATAGAAAAGTGAAATAAAAAGTTAATTTAAAATGAATGATATGTCAAATAAAGAATACAATCACATTAATTTCTATGTAAATATTTGTACGAGGACTTTGTATATATAATAGTACTCATCAACTTTAGTCTCTTTACAAGTTATTTGTCAAAAGGTGGTAAACCCAAACCATACTATATAAACACTCTGACTTCCCATGTGTACAGATAATTACATTTAATTTTATTAAGCAAAAAATCTAGTAAGATAAATAGGGGAGTGAAGAAACACAAAAATTTGATGAATTGTGAACTGGTGTTTGACATATTTAATATTATCTTATTAAAAACCTAGCTCGTATCTTAATTTGGACGAAATTTGAATAAACAAATGCATCGATTTAGTTTAATTAAAATTTCATTTTGTTTTAAGACTCTTAATGTCAATAATCTAGGCAGACATTTATGTTATCCTTTGAGAAAAATAAAATGAATGGTCATGTATATTGAGGTTCCAAAGTTGAGTTAATGTATTGATTATCACAAATATGAAAACGTATAAACATATCTGGTTGAGCAAAAGTCTAGAATCCAGTTTTAGCCTTGTACGTTTTTAGCTTGTCTGTTGAATTAGTTCAGCGGGTTAAAGTGTTAAAAATCAAAGTTTAAGTAATACGGTGCGTTTTACTCTTCGGCTAAAACCAAAAGCCTTGTATTCGAATTGTAGTTGATGACAAATTTTTCCATCTCTTCAATTTGCTTATTTTGCTCTGCTTTCTATTGATGGTGTTTCATGCCTGGTCTGTTTCAAGAAGAGATTTTCTCTGGGTTAAATGGATTCATACTTTTAGACTAAGAGGGCGTGGTTTTTGAAGCGTAAAAATCCCGTAGGATGCTAGCTGGAGACTGGAGTTGTCGCAAGATTCTTCAGATTAGCGATTGCATCAGGGATCGTATCGCGGTCAACATAGGGAATGGACCAACTATTTCTTTTTGGCAGGATGCTTGGCACCCATTAGGTCATCTTGATAAAATTGTTCCCCCTAAGACCTTTTATGAAACGAGGTTAGGTCATTGTGCTAAGGTCAGTGACATAATTGACAGCGGACAATGGTTGTGGTCGGAGGACTTTCATGAGCAATTTCCCCAAGTGACTGATCAATCCCCCCCAAATTCCCATGGATGATGACAAGGATACTGTTTTCTGGCGAACTAAGGCCGGCAAAAAGGTTCAATTCTTCGCTGCTCAAACCTGGTGTGATTTGGCCCTATTGAGCACTTCTTTACTCTTTGGTTAGCAATCAAGCACAAGCTCCTAACCCAAGATAGGATTCTTCCATGGTCCAGTACGGAGATGATGGAATGTGTGTTATGCAAGTCACCATGGATTCCCGTGACCATTTATTCTTTATGTGCCCTTTCTCTGAATCATTATGGAGAGCTGTCCAATCTAAAGGAAAGTTTAGGGTCCTGGTAACTAGTTGGAAAAACATCATTAACTGGTGTACCAACAATTTCAAAGGTAAAAACATTCACATGGTGATTTGGCGTTTGCTTTTTGGGGTCGTCGTTTATTTTGTGGCAGGAGAGGAATTTTCGAATTTTCAAAGGCATATGGCGGAGTCGAGACTATGTTATGAGGCAGATGTTTGAGGAAGTAAGGTTCTGAATGCTTAGTCTTACGGTCCTGTGATTTGGCGTTTGCTTTTTGGGTCGTCGTTTATTTTGTGGCAGGAGAGGAATTTTCGAATTTTCAAAGGCATATGGCGGAGTCGGACTATGTTATGAGGCAGATGTTTGAGGAAGTAAGGTTCTGAATGCTTATTCTTACGTTCAAGGATCCTCGGTCCAGCAAGTTTGTGGCCAATTAGGGCTTACCCGCGAGTTGCATTAAAGTGGGAATTACTTGACTTTTTGTTTTATGATTGTCTGGCTCTCTGTTTTCGTAGTAGTGCTTGGCCTACAATTATGATTCTCTTTGCTTCAGTCTTATGTTGGGGAAGGGAGTTTCTGCTACTGGTGGTTATTTTTTCTTTTGGTTTGGCCTAGAAGTGATTCTATATATAGCGTGAGTTTATTACCTCCTATTTTTTGCTGCTGGAGTTTCCTGTGTTATGGATAGGGTGTACAGTTTTTATTCAGTTTTGGGGTGATTTTTGCTATGTGGTTTGTGGAAGTGATGCAGATTGTCAGCACTCTCAGGTTTTACACCTCCCCACTTTGGGGGGATTGCTGCTTTTTTCTTCTCGGTTTGGGAAGGGGAAAGGGAAAACTTGCATCTAGTTCTAGCATTTGGGTGTTCTGGCAGCTTGGTGGGTGTTATTTGGTGCTGCAAAATTATGGTTTTAATGCTGTGATTCATGACCTGACTTGCTGATTGAGATGTTTGAATAAGCCTATTGCCACCATTTGGATGTGCTTCCTCAGGTGTATGATGGCTGACTTTGATAAGTTGTGGGCAGCAGAGCACATTATGACTGATTATACAGGTTTTTGTTGGGTTGAGAGTCGCGGTGGGCTATCTGGTTTGCTGGCTGTTTTGACAATGAACCTGATTTTTCTTTCTGCAGCTCTCTAGGAATGGCATTGCTGGA